TGATTCTAAATTATCTGTCTAGTATTTTATGTGTTCTTCAAATTCTAGCCAAGCGGATATCGTTTCATTATGCTGCCCATGTGTGTCTGTCGCGACTGTTCTAAATCATACATATAGTCTGATGATAGACTATTGATGTCGAAACGTATAGCTCTGAATTAATTTACAAGCTGTCATTGAACTTTCCAATATTGTTGTGTATGATGGCTACATAATTTACTATTTAGCCTATATCATTTCATATAGACATCTCCAACAGGATCCTTGAGATGAAATCGCCTGACACCTATTTCTTACAACGCCTTGATGGCACTATAAGTGGCTTTTCTTGACACGAGACACGATTATCTATTGCTTGTCCCACGCCTTTGATGCTCATTATTTAACTTGCCGTATCTTCGTATCGTGTCACTAATTTCTTGTTCGCTGCTCTTACAGGGGTCTTACTCCCTTCAAGGCAGGCTGCTGCATTGCAACATAATGGGCCTAAGTGCCATTCTTAATCGTTGAATCCTTCATGGATTGGCTGTGAACCTTCGATATATTTTGTCTTCAAAAAATATCATGTCGTAATGAAAATGGTATCGATAAAGCTCTGGAGTTATGTTTAGGAGATACGCGGTTTGAGTCTCGTCTGTCATATCTGTTATTTTAACAGATTCTTCTTGTGGTTCAATTCTAGGTTAATGTTATGATTATACTTTGAAATAGACAACATACACATATACGTAAGACACAAAAGTGTAAATATTGTTACTTCAGAAATGTATTTAAGTGTCTAGATGTATACCAGAAAGTAAAGAAGCCTGTACTTACATCATTTTGATTAACCATTTAAATCTTATTTTAACTTAACTTGGAATTTTAGTGTTTTAACCCGCTTTTCCATTAATGTTATTCAGCTACCGCCTGGTGTTAGAAATTGCCAAGTGGATAAACGAAGTGTTTTTTTTTAGTATTCAAGTGCTGCTTACGCTCTATTTAACACGCGTTATAAGGTGAACTCATGACACTTGATAATACATTCGTGTAATCTGCCTTTCCGGATCTCAACGTTATTGGTTTAACTCTCTGCAGCCGAAGTTCGTCTAAAGCAGACTAAAAAGGCGTAGTCGGTACTGGAATACACAGTCTCCACAGCTTCCATTGCAGATTCAATTTTTTGAACGCCTTGAGGTGAAACAAAGAAACTTATCATGCAAATAATGCTCAAGCTGTGTCACTAGTATCATCTATGTAAGCATATAATAATTTGAAGATTTCTGTCTTCTGGGTTGTTGCGCTGTGTAGTCTGGTCGATGTTAACCAACGTTTCAGAGGTCATACTGCCTCCGTCATCAGGGCGATTCTTAGTATGAAGATTTCTGTCTTCTGGGTTGTTGCGCTGTGTAGTCTGGTCGATGTTTACCAACGTTTCAGAGGTCATACTGCCTCCGTCATCAGGGCGATTCAGATTACACAGCACAACAACCCAGAAGACAGAAATCTTCATACTCACCGCTGTGATAACCTCAAATCTTACATATAAGAATTTGTATATCGTCAACAAAAGATTTATTATTTATTTACTATTACCTACTTCTTATTAAGATAGGAAATGCCCTACTTGTAACCAAAAATGTTCTGTCCTCAGTTTTTACCGAAATAAACAAACTTGCGTCTTAAACGTTATCTTTTTTCTCTTCTGGTTCGGTTGTTTATGGAAACTTGACTGTTGATAGAACAGCACAGATGCATTGCAAACTGATCAAATAAATTCAAATGTACAACCTACGATATATGTCGGAGATTCTCTTAACCTGCTAGTTCGTAACAACAGTTATTTAATAAGTAATTGTTCATGCATCCTCCATATTGTAATTTTACATTGCACAAATAATTCCTTATTTCTTTTGTAACAGTCTGCCATTTTTTCCTTCTTTTTATTCTAAATTTAATTTCTGGCAGACGAGAACTGTTTCGTTACTGTGACAAATTTCCGCGTAATGTGTTTCTGCAGTATCACCAATTTCACCGTCTCTCCCTCGCTCACATGTTAATTACATATAAACGTCTATTACCTCCGTCACAGAGTGACGCTGGCAGTGGAGGAATAATTGCAGGGCCTTGATTGTGTGCCCGAAGGGTTTTCAGGGGTTCTGCTCCTAACATGGTAATGAAATGCTGGTTTATGTGAATCCTCGTAAGATGACTTCGACTCCGTTTATCTCACAGCACGAACATGTATAATCGGTATTGCACTGAGGCCCATGTTGCACTATGATCCACGAAACCTAATTTGCTACATTTTGTTTCACAGAAAGAACTCATAACAAACTGAATATGATACAGTGCGGAGTCTAATTGGTTATTTCTTGCCTTGAACGATGCATCAACTGCATAGGTTATATAGCCCCTTTGATACCCTGATGATTGTCGCCTGTTTTGTAAGTTTGTGAAACTTGGTCTCTGGCTCTACCGAAATATATCGATTGAGGATGTATGAGACCTCAGTGAAGAGAAGAATATTTAGATCTAAGAAAGAGTAATTAAAGGAAATAACATGAATATGGAGATCATTATGTGTTGAGTAGCTGTATAATTTGAATTATTTTTATCGTCATGTTATCGCGGTTTTAGGAACACTAATTTATGTTTATTCTATGAGTTTCTTAAAATGATTTATGCATTAGTCTGTCAGTATTAATTTAGGTATTACCCATTGTCTGCTGTATATTTCATACACATGACGTTTCGGAAGGTGGTTATCCACTCGTATTCAGGTGACTGTACTGACAAATATATTGATTTAAGGCTAGTGGCAACGATTGGCACAGAACCTAGGACTATTTCAGAAGTAAGAAACGACGCCAATTGTAATTGTCTATTCAAAAATCGCACATGAAATTTATTATTTCAAAATAGGATCCGTGTCAGATGTAACGTGTGCGTGTGGTAAGTTTGTTCAAATTCAATGAGCGAAGTATTTAGAGTTTGGTGCAAAAGTTTTGGAAAATCAGCTAATTTTGTGAGCGTATGTTTGTGTGTGTAGGCGAAGTTTAAATTTAATAAGATTGGATTCGTTTTGCTGGAATTTATGTAGACGGTAATGAACATTTTGTTTTCGATACAATTCCTGACATTTTTGTTGTCTGTCTGAGCGACTGGTAGTTTCTGAAGAAGGCCGCTAGATCTTGGAGAAGGTTTTAGTTGCATGTATTCTCCCCTAATTTACAAAAAATTGAGATTATTCAGGCTTGCGGAATGTCGCGAAGTAGCCGTTAAGACCAGTTACATTAGAATAAAAATTCCTTTTCGTTTGCAGCATTCTTTTGAGCCACCTAACCGAAAGAAATCCAATTCCAGGGAAATGAAAATTCCTACTTTAACACTTGGGAATTTTCCTGCTTCAATCTGATGTCCTTACAAGCAGACTTAACACGACAGTATTGCTTTACGTAAGTGGAACGTGACGTCTGCACGACCTGCAGTGTTAACATATGCATTTTTCTTTTCCTCGAGTGACTCATCAGAGTAATTGGAGGGAAGTGGTAAACGCGTGTGAATGGGGCATTCTCACGACAGCGTTTGCACTGCGGTCGCTTCCCCTTATTCCTTTTCTTGTGTCCTTTAATTTTGCATAGAACAAGCGTACGCTATATGTCTACCAGTCACGTTCGCTTAGAACCATAGCCAACGAAGCATTTCTCCACTCCTCCCGCTCGTCATGAACATCGTAAAATAACGGAAATACCTAAGCTGTATGTCTGTTAGCACGGTCTCGTTTTCTTCCTAGCTTTCCATTTTTAATTTCCTTCTTTCCCTTCCCTTCCTTCGTTCCTTTTTTATTTCTATAGAGTCATTTATTAACGCACAAGGAAGTTTGCTGCAAGAAGTATTACTTTTTCAAAGGCAAACTTGGTCTCTCTCATTAAGATAATAATGTAGGTTGATGGAGTATGAGAAACGATTGCCTGTCGTTAGATTTAGAAATATTTATTGCTGAAAGACTGTATATTTATTAGTATATTTATGCCCACATCAATATATTATGAATGAATGAATTTTATTATTCATTACAGTAATTTAAAACTCATTATATAATTTGTTTTTAAAATAGCACGATATGAAGTATAGACGATAGATTACATAGAATCCTACAAATGATTATATTTATTTCGATAAATATTGATCAGATTAAAATGTTTCTGGTAAAATTACTAAGAAAGTTGTTTAATACTTCTGGTATTCTATTCATACATCTGCTTATATTTTTAAATAATAATGAAATGATATATGCGTATAAATTCGTGTACGCGCGCGTATGTATGTGGATAAAAATTACACTGTATGTAATAAGTTAAACGTTGTCAATGGCGGAACCAATATGAAATTTCAGATAATGTATTGATACAAATTAACACAATTGCAATGAATTATATACAGCGGTGCTAGAAATAACACTGAAATTTCATTTACACTTAAAGCAGTCTGTAAGTTTGTGTAGTTGTTTTAGTTTCTGCATCTTTCGTGATTTTTGCAAGAATCATCGGCAAAGTATTCATACAACAGCTCAAAGACAGTGTGTTCAGGTCAAATATAACTATAAACCTGTAGAAAGATGCATAAATTATATTTCGACATTAATGTTTGCCCTATCATCAATGTAGATTATATTTGTAAATAAATTGTTTTATGTGGTCTTGAATATTTAAGAGAAAAAGGTATTTAACACGTAACGACGCACCCCTACGCCCACCATGTCGATTTTAAGATCGTCCAGTTCTTCCCTGGTTGAAGCAGATTCGACTGTAAAATTTCGCAACACAGTAGATATGCCAGTCTTGATCTGCCCACACAGTTCTGTGACCCTACGCTAAAAGGACCGTAGCTAAAAGGGTGTCACTTTGTCTGTTTTCTGATTGCGGCCGAAAGCGCTCTGGGTCAGGAAACAGACAGGGTTCCGGTGTGTCTTGTGAAGATCGAACGCCACAGAACAGCCGGCTGGAAGCTTGTATCCGTTAATGTCGGCGTCCTCTGTCAGATGGCGTGCTATTAAGTACTTTCGGGAACAGTCTAAGACTTTCTTTGGTTACCTGATAAATGTACAGAATAATATAGGAAACTAATTAGTCAGCGACAAACATAATTCTTAAGCCTTGAGTGGTTAGCACTGCTGCTTCTTATAAGGCAGACCCCAGTTTCAAATCTATCCCGCAGACAGGTTTTACTGACAGGTTTCACGTGGTATTCCTCAGTCCCACTGAAATATGGGTACAGTACAATTTGGACATAACCGCTTCTTCCAACATCGTTTCTTGTTCACTGCTAGTAAAACCCACCATTCGAAACTACAAACTCGGAGAAATTAAAAGCGCAGTTATATAAATCATGCAAACATAAGAAGTTGGTCATATATCCACATCTTCGTTCTTTATGATAAACAAACTCGCGAAACAAAGGGCGAGGAAAAGCACATTTTACTCTTGGCTTGGTGAAAAGACGTCAAAGAAAGTAGTCACTGTAAAAGCTTCAAATTTTATATAGCCTTATTGAGATTATTCGTGGTTTTACTCGGTCTCTTCAGGCATGTCTCGGGTTAGTATCTTACGTTAGATCACTATTGCTTCCTTCCAAAACCTTTCATATTTATGAGTTGTTTGAAAATTTAATATAGTTTTTCTGTTACCGTAATGAATATATTTTGGAACGAAAATGCTCCGAGCCGAGTCGTTGCTGCAAGTGACTTTATCATCTGTCGAAATCTCGCAGCTACACTGTTTTCGTCTTCCTTTGTTCTGTTTTCCAATTTTGCCCCGTACTTGCTGTAATGCGGGTAAAAACAGCACCATGCAAATTGTTTGTTTTTCAGCGGCAGCGCGCAGGATCCCGACATGCTCACATGCGTCCTAAGGCGACGCTGGTGCCAGGCGCCTGACAATTTGTTCCTTATTATGTCTGAGGTTCTGCGCTTCGTGGGGTGGCTTACACCCTTACGCCCTAGACTACCAAGATGTACCACGTACGTTAATGAACAACCTTCTCACACGAATCAGAGTTTGTGTGTAAATTTGGTGAACTCGGACGTTAGAATGTTTTATGGAAAATTTTAATTATTTATTATTGGGGGGGGGGTCACGTAACAAACTTTACACTTCGTATGCTGTATGTCTTCCTGTACATTTTAGGTTTTTCCATTTATAAAATTTGTTATAAATTTTATTCCAATTTTGTGTCATAGACACACGCCTACACTAATAAGATGTTTACAATAAGAAACGATTTAAAAAATGTACCAAAAATTAAATGTCCTCTGAGTGAATTTGTACACCCTGCTCCATTGAGTAAGTTAGTTACTTAGTTACCTTCTGCTCGTTTTTCAATCGTACTGTAAGTGATATTGATGTAAACTAACAATGAGTTGCAAATGTAATGAGACAGCAAAAAAATTATTTCCACTGTTACAAATCATGGTCTTACCTGTAAGGAACACTGTTCATTGTATGGAAAGAGTTAACTGAGACTAACACCTAAATAAATTACCATTTCGACGTACGTCATATTTTGGAGGTCATGATAGCTGGCGTGCCGATTCGGATTATATCGGTGAGCGATCTCGTCCTGGAAATGGAAATGCAGCCCGATCAGCGTAAGGATGAAGCATTTGTGGCTGGCCGCCGTTTCGTGACCAACCACAATCAGCGTTCGCCTCGCATGATTTTTTCCCCCGTAGACTCTGTAATTCTGACCCTTTGTGCTCGATCATGGGGTCAAGAAACGCCAGTCCCTTCTCAGTTTGTGGGGCGGAAGATAACTGAATCTCTATTATGAACATGGATTGTCTATTTCAAAAGTTTCATTAATGTAAGAATTTGTGATGTGTTGAGGACGACTGACTTCTGGGATATTTCACCTTGTAGTCTGGTAGAAGTTTGCCGACTTTTCAGAGGAGCGTATTGCCTCCATCACCAGGGAAATGTTGATGGAAGTAGTAAGCACCTTTTGTCCAAGAATTAGCATTAAAAATGTCCATAAACTGTTCTAGAATCTTGAAATGAAATATGAGGGTTATAATCTTTGTGAGTCTTCTCCATTTTTCACCTCCATTCATTATTAAAACCATCGCCACATATCTCTACCAGAACTTTCTGTAACTTTGATTCGTAAACAAATTTCTCATTTCCGAGAATAATTCCGAGATCCTTAGGTTTACTTAGGAACACGAATAATGAAAGTCTCAAACACAAGCGACATATAGATGTGTATTCGTTCTGTGTTTTGCAAAGTTTCTGATATAACTTTTAATTATATATTCGAAACACCAGGGAATTTTAGAATCTAATTATCTTAAACGGCGCCTTGATCACTGACATTTAAAAGCTGTTAGAGATGTCAATATCACTAACAGAAAAAGCTATAAAAGAATTTCTGTATGTCTCATAATGTATTCAAACATTTTAGAGACGAAGTTCTTAGTTGAGAAATTTATTGTTCTTATTTCCCCCACGAATAATTAATGTTCGCTTTGTCTAAAACACTTTCGAGTCGTGAATTTGTGCGTCTCTTGTTCATAAACTTTTCCAGCCAACATTTACTGCGAACATAAACACTTATATCACATTACAAACCCACTAGACTATCAGGTATGAATAGACACTCAAAGTTCGTAAGTTTGAGTTCTCAAACTATTTATTTCTAAGAACTTTGTCAGATATATAAATTAATTTTGGTAGAGCAGAAAATTTCCTCACTGAAATGACGAAGTCTGTAGACATTAAAATTATTCCTCGCATGTCACAGTCATCTAAACGAAAAACTAGCTTGTACCACCAAGATTACAGAACAGAACTGTCGCCTGCAAGCTCACTTCCGCCTCAGTCTTGACACCAAACTAAAAACCCAACAACCCAATTTATACAAACCTGGGATCTGCAATACAGCCTAGACAAAATTGTCAGAACGACAATAAAGCGTATTTCTGCGACGTAAGATAATTTACTTGAAACATAGCTTCTTGAAAGAAATAGAGAATTAATGGAAGGTGAAACGATTTCCTATTAAATGTACTATTCCTTGATACACGATGCTGCTGCACAAGCATTTATTTGATGCATTACTTTATGCCAGCGTGGTACAGCTAAGCTAAGTCTTAAAAAGAATTAAAATGTGTCGACAGATTTTAATAAAACTCCGTAGTATCACATGCCTTTAAGTTGTTAGATGCGGACAGACGGATTCGCGGACCTTCGGGCATAGATTTTAACAGGATGTGCAGAAGGCTGCGACCGTGCCTAAAACAATATATTCTGGGTCTCAGTTAAACCTATAAACCATACTAAAACGTTTTATATCGCGGAATCTACTTCCCGTGTTTTGTCAGTGAGGGTTCTGCTACTTTCGCATATTACAGACTGTAAACTGTGTTGAAATACAAAGAGACTGTCGCCTGTTTTAAGGTACGGTATTGAAAATCGATAGACACACGGCTTTTATATTTTGTGCGAGTGAGTGAGAAGAACATACAAAAAGAACAATGATTGGTAGCTCAGTAAAAGGAATTGGGTCCTTATGTAGATGCATGGATTTGATCCCAGACAAGTGTTAAATTTCGATGTGTATGAGAGGCTTTAAGGTTCAAACTTCGTCCTATTCAGTTTGTATCAGAGGCAGATTTTGTAGATGTACAAAGAAGCTTGCAACCCATTGCTTCTTAATGACTGATCCCGTTTTTTTTACTTATTTTCTTACATTCTTTCTATGGATAGATGGCAGGACAATATTATGATGGATATAAATAAATGTGATATGAAGCTGTGGACTGGATTATTCATATATCTGAGGAAAATTACCTCTAACGAACTCTTGTGTAATTAACATTCGGGTTCTATAAAAGGCAGTGACTAGCTGAAGTTCTGAAGGACTTTTCTCCACGTGGGCCTAGTTATTTGGCATGTTTAGAACAGAAACATTCGTAAATTTGACATTGTCTTTTTAAACTAGTGAACATGATACTGAATTCGGGCGTATGTGTATCTCACCCCACCACCACCCACCAATCCGTCGTCCTTTATTAATCGATCTGTGAAACCAAAATGATTCCCGGCGGCAATGTAAATATGTGCAAATAACAAATGAATCGCCCTGATGACGGAGGCAGTATGGCCTCTGAAACGTTGGTAAACATCGACCAGACTACACAGCGCAACAACCCAGAAGACAGAACTCTTCATACTCATCGCTGTGAAAACCTCAAATCTTAAATAATAAATGATTGGGAGTTGGAGACAGAAAACTCCAACTTGTGCGAAAGACCATTAATCACACTGTGGAGAAACAAAATAAAAATGGCTGTTCAGTGTATTTATAGGTCTTTAGGACGATTTCATTGATCCCAAGTATCGCCATTTCAAAACACGCTCTGAAGAAGTCGTAAAGGAGGTAAGTTAGTGGCTCGTTTAATAATGAAATCTGCAATGCGTGAGAGACCTCGACTGCCTTGCCAAGGACTTCATTGATAATGAGCGGCTCGTGAAGACGCAGAACGTCATAAAGTAATGCAATTCTTTGCTTGTTCAGATTGTTCAAATGTTTATGAAAGGTTGTTCTGTTTTGTTTTGACGAACAGTCTGTCACTACACAAAATTGGATATCACTGGTAATTAATTATAATATTCAAGTCTTCAATGAGATTTAGAAAGGAATGCTTGTTCATTGTAACGATTTGTAATACGTATTGTCATAGCCAGTGTAGTTGGGGGCACAGATTAGCATTTTTAACACAGAATAATAATCGAATCCAAATTATAAAAATATTTATAATTCTTGTCGATGTTGATGTCCTGACCTCAAACGCTGTACAGACTTGTGGATGGATACCAACGTTTAAGAGAAACATACTGCCACCATCTTCAGGTTTGAACCTTGAAAGATCGAGGCAGATTATTTGTGATTTATTTCTCATCAGCGTCTTCAATGAAATGCTGGTATAGTAGTGCCTTGATATGGATTAAGATCGCTTCGTTTTCTATTAGCATTTACGATCATCATATTATTCCATGTTACACTCGGTTTAAAAGCGCCGTTAAAATAACCAATAACGTATTAGAAACCGTCAAAGCCTTTATACAGATTCTCTTCGTGCTATTGAACATCTAATAAAAACCCATATATAAATGATAAGAGATACAGATTTTGAAACAGATTTACTTTGGCCGTTTAAGTTCTGTTTCAAGAACATGGGATGTGTCGAAAGACTCCATCAGTATTTAACGTCACTGAATCATATGGGCAGAGTTTCTGAACCGAACGTAATGAAAAATATTTATAAGCGTCAGTCGTCCGGGCAATTGTTCCCCAGTCAGGAAAGAGGCTTTAATACCCAAGACTAGACAATTCTTGAGAGAATATTTGAGGTCCTACGGATTACAAATTCGATGTATCGCCCTAAGGATAATCAGTCCCTCTATTTCGCCAATGCAACAACAACAACAATAACGTTAAGATAATTAATTGCCCTCGCTCCTTTCTGTTTGGATTCCGACAACCACAACACCCTCTAGTGGCAAGAAATTCAGTGCAGGCCTGTACCTGGCCGACAGCTGTTTTCGTTTGAGGAATAGTAATGTATCTGACACAGCACTGAATATTTTAAAAAACAAAATTATATGACGATTTTAATATTCCTATGCCCCAAAGGAACGCAGTATTTTAGGCGGGCTGCCAGTAATTAAATTACGTTCCTTGTGGCATATTTTTATCTCAGCCCTTAATCAATTATTAATTTAATAGATGTCTGCCGCAGGGGATTATATTTTCGGGCTGTCAAAAGTATTGAATCGATGGCAGTGTTGATAGTGTATTCCTTCTTTAATTTTCTTGATGATTTATTTTATTATTTGCCTTCGCCTACGTTCCCTGATAACTGCAATTACTTTTATAGGGGCAATGGAGTTGTTGCGTGTTCCGTGGTGTTTCCATTGTTTACATAAGCAGAGGAGGGGAAGTAAACCAGATCAAATCAAATTTCAGAGAAGAAACTGCTTTCATTACGCTACTTCTAATTTTGTAGTCGGCATGTTCATGGAGATTTGCAGTATTCCGAAAGAAAGCTTTTTCTTTAATTTTTGTTTTCGACAATATATTTGCCATAAATTTTCAATATTGAAACTTGTAAGAGAGCTTTTGTTTCGAAATTTATGCTCCGTGGAAAATAATCAGACTGTACATAGTAAAAGCAAGTAGAAATAGTAGGTAGAGGGTATTATTTCTATGTAAATAAGTGATTGTTGTCAACCGGGTCCTACTTACATACCTACAGTTGTTGTAAGAACTGCATTTGCGCATGCGAGATTTTAGCTCTTCACGGCGGAGACGGGAACTTTGAGCCTCTCGTATTTGGGCTTCTAGAATATATTTAACGAAGCTAATTATAGAACAGAATTAGAAGTGATTGCAAACGCATTAAAATGGAAGTATTTCTCTTATTCAATAAGTCACGTTTATCTGGATTTTTTCAGTTTTATTTGCTTTACCGATTTTTCTGCTACAGTAATGCTGATGTTTATTCATCTTATTCTACAAGTCACAACTGGTGGAATCCTTATTATACTACTAATAGGACATTCAAAATATCTACAAATATCCTCTCCTACAGTCCATACTTTAGTCTCATCTTAACATTTCATCAGTGATATATTTCTTAATTAGTAAAACAGTATATCAAATAGCACCATTTTAAATATACTGTGGCATGTCTGCAATTAATTAGCAATTCGCAACACGAAATAAATCCACTGAGCCGAGTTGCTGTTGGGGAATGTATAGTTTCTCGGACAGCTGCATTTAAAATAATTTATTTTCGGGAGTAATAGAAAAACAAAACACATTTCCATTTCGGAATCTTATGATGATAAAGACAAAATGGTTCCTGGGTTTCTGTATTATGTTTGCAAGTATAAAAGTCAGGTAACATGTGCTAAATAGTGTTAAAATTGAGCAAATACAATAAGAAGGTTCAGACCTCGGATTACAACTATAGAGGCGAATGCTCTTCCGTAGTCTGGTCGATCCATGACGCATTAAGTTTGCTTCACGGCTGCGCTGTCTAAAAACTTGCTAAATTAAAGGATCTTTTTTGCTTAGTTACATTTGCCCACCTGCAGTAAACCATCACTACATTTAAGGATAGGACCAAAATAAATATAACGAAGAGAACTATCAGAAGTATAAAAATTGACAAAAACGGGCTAGTGGCAGCTGCTTTTCTCTCAGTTTTTGAGACGTGAGTGTCATTATTAACTTGAATGCTTGGATCTGTTGGTCCATTGGAAAAATATTGGGTAGTCCGTGGCGCATTCTCAGAGCCCAGTGAGTTCTTGCTATTTATATCCGTCGCGTAACTACTGTTGCAGTTCGGCGAGGGTGTGGAAATATCTTCAGCAGCTGTGGCACCTTGACCTTCGCCATAAGGCGCCTCGGAATTGGTTTTCAGATAGAACTTTCCTCTTGCGCTGTAATATTAAAACAGTTTCAGACGAACTCATGCATATGTAATGTGAGTAAATAAAACTGCTGTAAAACTGAGTGGCGTAACACGTTCTCTGAGCGTTTGTATTCGCCTTGTACTGGGAACACAAAAATTTACTGTCTCAGCAACTTTACAGACTTATCTCTACCTGTTCTCTGTGATGCATTTTAATAATATCCTACCATCTAAAGCGTTCCGTTGTGTAATTTTATTTTTTCCCTCTTCTTTTTATTTCTAAATCCTCCCTTCAGCGTGTTCTAGAATACAAACTTAATCGTACAAATAACAGACTAAATTTTATTGCTTTCCTACACCCCTCCACGGAATTGAAGTGTTTGAAGTTATAGGAGCGGTTTTGGTGGCATCACTGTTTTAATTTGAAATAATATTATGTTGCATTAAGAGATTGTGTCCAAATAACGTATAAATGACACATGAACAAACTCACATTCTCGTATACCAGAATGTGTGACGTCATAAATACAAAAGGTATAGATATATATATAGGAACATATATGAAATTGTAGCATATGTTTGTGTGCACACATACATGTAATGTGTGTGCATGTGTATTTGTGCATGCATGTTAATAAACAAGCGGAAAACAGATAGTACCTGATCAGCGCGTTCGTGCGTTTTAAAATCTCACTGAAGTTGGGGTGGTTATTATCGAATTCCTTGGAGGCATGGATTCAAATCCATTTCCTGTTCTCGTATGTGTAGGCAGAGCTCTTGCGGTTCGCTAATCCCACATGCAGAAACTCTTACTAAATGTGTGATAGATAAAATTAAAAATAAAGTATGTGCTTCTAACCGGAAATTTCTGAATTGTATTCTATACTGAATCGTATAAGTACAGTGTTCAGTTTTACTTCTAAATGTTGTGTAAATACGCATTTACGTCCAGCTGAAGCAAACGATATTTTTATAGATCTTAAGAACATTTATAATTGTTTAACAAGAGTATGATCCAACTGTTCCTTCCGACGTAAACTCATCTTTGACAAGTAGATGGTCTTGAATTATCTTCCACGAACGTTCCGATATCAAGACCCCAACGAAATACTGATTTTTTTTAGAATAGATGTTTAAAAGTTTTACGTAGCTTGGATGATGTTTCTATATGTTTCCATATGTTTCCATTGTTCATAGATTCAAGCGTAGAAGCTTCCAAATTCTGATTTCTTCCTCACAGTTTCATAAAACGTACCTTTATTACCAATTTTCTACATTCTCTGGATTGTCCACTCAGAGATGTGATGCAGAAATGAGTAACACACAGTAAGGATTAAAATGGAAGAAAAAGACAATATACCTCGTTGGTGCGAAAGCACCCATGAAGACTTTAATGTTTCCATGGCATTTTCCTTGCTTGAAGTTGTTCCATGAGTCACAGAGAGAGGCTGGAAATGCCAACGGCCTGTACACTGACTCGGCGAAGTACGTACACGCCATACGGTGACTGCAGACTAAAGCTGCAAAGAAAAATGGGTCTTGGCGTCACAGCAGAACTGTTCGTAAGGCAGAATAAATAATTTTATGTCTACGGATACTGCAACAACAATAAGCAATAATTTAAACTTTTCCCATCCTTTATTTTTAATAAATAAGAATAAATTGTAACATATAATGATAGCGAAGAAGAATTTACGGATACCCTTTAAAATCTTTCGAAAAGATGCAAAGAATTCCGTAGAATGGATTAAGTTCTTCGCGATTAGTGTGAAGAAAACTACATGACCGTAATCGTAGTAATAAGAATTATTTATATTGTATTATTACTCATTAATATTACGACTTAAATTTCAAAAATTTATCGATGTGGAGAATATATAAAGATACCGAGAAGTATACCAATAATTTACTTCAATTCTAGGAAGTTTCGACAACATTTTTGTGAATGAAAACTCGTCCAGGCTATTTCGTCCAGAGACACTTTGCCTGTATGTCTATTGAGCTTATTTAACTTAGATTTTAATAGTTTATTTAACGACGCTGGCGCTGCGAGAAGTCTACATCTGACAGCCCTGGGCATCTGCTTAGTTTATCAATCGGATAAAGCGACCGTCTGCGTGGCCTAGCCCAAGAATTGAGAAGAACCTCGGTTCTTCGGCATTAACCTTCCTCGGCGGAGCACGGTGGTTGGGGCGCCTTGCCGCCGTTTGGGTAGAAGTCTGCGTGTCCAACGGGCTCCAAGAAGGACAGAAAGCCACTTGCAGTGTGGATCACCTGGACGAACTCCGCATCGCCAGCATCCAAGCGCTCATCATTAGTCCTGATCTCGAATTTTGGTTTAGCTGGATCCAGAGCTGCTCACACAAATTGTTTAGGTTAAAACCTGAAGATGACTGACATCTGGGATGTTGAACCGCACAGTCTGGTAGAAATTCGAGAGCGGCATACTCATCGCCCTGATGATAGAGGCAGTAAACTCCTCTGAAACCTCGGTAAATTCTTACCAGACTGTAGGGTGCAATATCCCAGAAGAGAGTCACCTTCGGAATCTTCGCCGTGAGAAACTGGAATCTGAATTTTAGGCAATTCTGTATTGAATGCTAGAAGTAAATGAGGTATCAGACGACAGTGCAGATGGTGGCTGGGCCTCGGAACATATCAGTGAGCACATTCCTTGCCAGTATGATAGAGAGAGTGAGCACAAACCAGTGATGCGGGGCACCAATCCAGTTTTTAACTGCGAGGCTGCAATTCCTGCCACTTGTGCTCCCAGGCTAAACCCCACGATGTGCAACCCCCGAAGAGCAGTTGTTTGGGTTTCTCGTATCAGACTGTCCAGGAAGTTGGCCAGCCTGCGTCCTGCTTCCATTGTGTTCCGGGCTGCTACGTCGTAGTGTGGTCCACGCGCCAGCATCCACCAGTTGAACACCACAACGTTCAGATCGGACGCATGCAAGTAGGCTGGCGGGTTGAAAAAGAAGTGGTTAGATCAGAGGTAACGCTTATGGTTAAAGGCTCGTAAAATTAGTTGTATGTATTTCTTGATCTATTTAATTATGCTTTATATAGGCCTGTCTTATAGCAATCTTAAGTGGGGCCCTTGCTACTTTGTTCTCGGGTTACAGGTTGTGGTTGGAGGAGAAGGACCCCAGGTACTGAGAGCGTCTGCGAATATATTGAATGAACAGCTGTAGACAACAGACAATGGGTTGTCCAGCAGATTGGGCAAAGTGCTAATAACGTCTCACAGTAAAAATCAGTGTGTTACGGAATCTTACACACGTTTTCGGATTCGTAGAAAATTTGTGTATATATATATATATATATATATATATATATATTTATATTGTGCAGTATCGAATGACAGACTGGGAAATAAATGGAAGGGTCGTGAATTATTTTAAGGTACTTGCTTAGAGGGGTTTGATGGAGTTTTAAAAAGGCTTTAGTCGAGATAACTGATCGCTGAATTGGCATTCGAACTCAGGTACTTCTGAATATAAAACATTTCTACTAAATCTTGTATGCGTTTGTAGTTTCCCACATTCATACCCCGCTCTCCTTTTTCTCTTTAATTTGTCCACCGTAATAATTTCTGTTAAGAAGTTCAAATTATGAAGGCCTCTGTGTAATTTTCTTAAGTTCAGTCTTACTTTTGCAGTTCGTTTCACATTTCTCACAAGGTAAGTTCTTTGACGGACGATTTCGTGTTCTGCAGCATTTTTAAAACACCTCTTGTCTGTCTGTCTGTCTGTCTGTCTGTCTCGACGCAAGCATAAGAGCAGTTGCCAATGGCATAAGCAGGGAACTTAGGAGCGTACCGTCACGAATTGCTTGCACTGTGTTGCTGTCATGGCTCTCTGTGTATCCATGCACGATGATTACTGTGGCGGTGTCCGTATTGAAATCCGTCATTGTCAAGTTGGACGCGTCCTCTGCCAGGTGAAGGGAGAAATGTGGATGTTTCCTGGTAAACAAAGAAACACTCCGTCAGTGTAACTTCAAGTAGCGAACGTAAGTAAGCATGTGTCCCACTGAAAACAAGGCTTGTTCTTACTAATCAATTCGTTATTTTTTTGTTGGAACGTTTACGGGGTTTTTCCATGAACATCGTTCTATTTTCCAAGAAATGATTTTGAGGCGAGAAACTACGTTGAAGCCTACACCTTCGGGTTTATCTTTTTCATTCTTTAGTTTTTATTTATTTATCTTTATATATATTTCTACCTTTATATCTTTGACTATTTATTTCTTCATTGCATTTCACTTTGTTTCGCCCTTTCTCTGCCTGTTTATTTTCCTCCGTATCCTCTTATTATTTTTAGCCACTCCCTTTTCTTTATTTATGTGCACGTGGTGTGTTGTACAGTCAGTTTTATTTCCTATTTCTTGTTGTAGGAATTTTCAATGAAAATGTAAGGTGACGTGGGGCCGGTAAGACGGCGAAATAAACGGCCGCTTTATATTTTAAACCACAACTCAAAAAGAAAAAAATTAAACTGAAACGTTGTCATAAGGATAATAAAAAGGGTTAGTGTTTTATATTAGCTTTATACTGTTTTTCGTTCTTTTAATGTTTTTGAGCCCGGTGAGTGAGTATGAAGGATTTATAACACTTTAAACTGGGATTCGAATCATAGTGAGGGCCTGTTATGCCTTACATTCGAAGTTCTTTGACGTTGTAGGAGATGTGATAAGATTAAGGGATTCGGAAAAAATTACGTTCAATCAGGCCAGACTAGAAGTAGAAAACTTCTGTAAAATATCTGAAAATCTGTGTTCTGAGCGAGTAACAAACAGTCATTGTCAGTATTTATAGAAAACATTTCAGGAATCTTCAACCCATTTGAACACTTTATACTTTCATCACCAGTAGAACGACGTACTTCTGTCACAAGTCGATGATATTCTTGCTACTGACACGCAGTAAAATGTAAGAGTTTACGATGAGGTCGTGTCTGTCATTTCTGCAAGCGCAGTAATATCACTGAGTACTATGTTAGAGTTACGAAGTTAAAACTATTCTAAGCAGGAAACAATAAACCTGTTTGTAAAACGTGCTGTGTCCTATGGATCAATAAAAGTGGTCTTGGCTTCGAAAGAATAAGTGAATATTGAAATGTCCATTAACACTTTTCGTTCGATACAGTCATAAGTAAAGACATCGCCAAAAGATCTTTTAAACATAACCTCAACTCATCATTCTTAATCGAATTTATGATTAAATTAACCAATATGCCGGGCCCAAAATCCAGCTGATACCGAATTATATTTACTCGGTTGCCTGTAATTTTTTCCCATCCGTTCGATCATTATATTTCACAACAAAGCTTTGTTTAAATCAGAAACTCTGGTAACTTCGTCTTCTTTTGTTTCCAGGCCCTCTTCCTGTTTCAAGAGACAAGACAAACGAGCACCTTATTTTAGACAGTAAAGGTAAGCGCATGTGTGCATTCCATTAATGAGGCAAACAAAAAACAGTGTCTGAAGAGAGAGAAATACAATGCATTATTTATTTGCGGGTGGTGGTTGATAATTATCTGCTCTGAAGGTTCCAAGACACTGTTTGCTCTTCTGTCTGGGTATAAGTATGAGCAAAATTATTTTGGCTAAAGTATTGCCAACACCAAATAACAAAAATAACTTTATCATCAAACAGGAAAGAAGCAAATTAAAAATGCTTACATACAGGAGCCTGTTTATAGGGCAGATAACCGAAAATCGTCTATCGCTTTCTCCATTTTTAATTTGGTTGTCTGCAATATTTAGGGGGATGAAATTATCGTGATTAATATGGATAGAACATGTTTCTTTTAACTGATAATCCTTCACACATCAAAGCTGTGTAAGGAATGAAAGGATGTTTCAAAGCGATGTATTTCGTTTGTAGCACGGAAAGAGGGGTAAATTATCTCAAAAGCCCGCCACTATAAGAAAACTTGCTATTTTGCAAAATGAAAAAATATATAACGAGGTAAAATTTATTTTAAATCGTGTTTTTCCAGTCTCAGGTGTTTAAATTTTTTACCTAGGACAAGTTATGGCGTTACACTCTTTATATTATCAGTTGTAAAAACTTACGGCTCTGTCGAGTGATTTTGCCATGTTAACATGACGGCGAAGGAGGATTGTGTTTCCATAGTGGGGGAGGCAGTATTGAATGAGACACATGTACTACAGGAAACACTAAGTGAACGAAACCAGGAAAACCGCGGTGACTATCGAACTCTCATGTAAGCTTGGTAACATCACCGTAACGTTTTACTGTGATGATGTAAAGAGTGTAGCCCCGTTACTGTTCGTCCTAGATAGAAATATCCTACACTTAAGATTGAAAATGTAATTTTTAGGACGTTATAATTTTTCTTAATTTGTCAAATAACAACCTGTTATGGCCCCTGACTTATGGGACGCTCTGCCTGCGAAACAGACTTTTCTAATTAGCGTCTTGTGTTATAAATTCTTATAAATTTGTGCTTAACAATGTTCCTTTATCTAAGCTTGTTGACACGAATTCTCACTGACCTCGTGTAGAGTTTAAACTGAATTATTGGTAAACCCTCGGTAGGAGGCTCTGATCCGCCCAAAGCCGCGTTCGCTGTAATTAAAACAGATCCTTCAGAAATGAATCGTAACAGATAAATGTGATATATTATTTCCCTCATGAAAAATGGTACAGTCTCGTTTATTTCTTATACAAATACTCTGTTGAAATTCACTTTAAGACATATCTAAGAAAAACAAGAATGTATAAAATACAAGTAATGAAGGAGACAAATTGAGATTCTACAAAATAATAAAATTCCTGCACTTTTGTACGGAATTTAAAATTATATTCATAAGAATAAAATATTTGTAATATTCATTGTGAGTAGTCTTTCTCCTTGAGATTTTTCAACTAAGTTTGTACATATTTATCTTCTGTGTGTGCTACAAGGCCTACTAATTTAATTTCCTTTGCTTGGTCACTATTCATACCTGACTGCAATCAACGTATTCGAATATTCTTGGACTGAACTACGAACTGAAATGTAGGTACCTGCACAATCTTCTCATAAGACAATCTTCGTTTTACTCATTTATAAGTAACGACCCAATAAGGGGTGAAGATTTTACTTCGGGCCAAAATAATGCTATTTTGAAGTGCCCGTGAATGAAAAGCATTTATGATATTTCATTACTTATTTTGTATTAGTATTTTTCTTCTGACATGCGCTGTTTTATTCATACGCCTCTGTACACTCTTACGCGGTGTTCTTATTGCTTTAACTGAAGCATCAATCTTTAAACCATTCAAAATTCCATGTAGCAGCTCTCGTACTGACACGACAGCTTCGCCTGCAGAAGAATGAATCATTGTGTAGAATAAAATATTAAATTAAGGCAGGCAAAATAAGTGACATGAAAGAAAAGGAAGAAGCGGGAATAGGAGATGTAAAATGTGCTGATAATGGGATGAATGTAAAGAGAAATGGGTGTCTGCTGTAACTGAAGTGGGTATGACGAACAATGAGAAGCTACGCTGAGTCTGTTACAGCGTCTAGACATGCTAAGTAGCTCTGCTGAACATAATAATAAGGGCATGAGATGTAATGACTTTAAACACGGTGGTAACTATGTGTACCGTCTGAATCAATATTTAATTAAGTCTTCATATTTTCCACAGAGTGTATTAAATGTTTTTCTCCTAATAAATTATTCTTAAGGTTTACATGCGTCATGTTTGTGTTTTATGATTAAAATATATAATAAAATTCAGGTCAATACACAAACTTTATTTAGATGTTAAAATTTAAAATTTAAATGTTAAAATTTAAAATTTAAATTTGCGCCATTCATCACTATAACGATGTTACAATAGAGCGCCTTCATTCGCTTCACTACATGTTTCGATGCAAAGCATCATCTTCAGGTGTTGTCTTTTAAATATTGTAACATCGTTATAGTGATGAATGGCGCAAATTTAAATTTTAAATTTTAACATTTAAATTTTAAATTTTAACATCTAAATAAAGTTTGTGTATTGACCTGAATTTTATTATATATTTTAAATTATTCTTATTTCTTTAGACACAATCAACCAATTAATTTTTGTAATGTTTTCTCTGCGGTAGGAACTGGTTGTTTAAGTGTTATTTTTATCAACTTCTTTTTCCAGAGGACTAAAATACTTAAGTGAGTAGTAATTATCACATAAGCAAAGCAAGGTTTTCTATTCCTTAGAAAATTGTATGAGCTGTTAATGGGGTAGATGTTTTTAGTGAAAGGAGTTGTGTGTAACATTTTGGGAGATCTAAAACGTAAATTAGAAGATAGTATTAAAATGGATTTTAAGGAAGAGGATGTTAGGGTATGGACTGGAATCAAAGATCTCCTTTGGGTAAAGTGGCGGGGATCTCTTGGCTGTCTGAGTGACTATCAACTTTTCAATGATTCTGTCGCATTGACTTTGTTAACTTTAGTTTTTTTCCCGATATGTTCCAGTGTAGAAATCCGTAGAGGTTAATGTATCGGTAATGCTATACACTTACCATGCCTCGAAATTTTGTTACCAAATTTTGTATTATTGTCTTATTCAGTATTTTCTTGTCAGGATACACGGATAGCTAAATGCTTCGTGGACAGTACCAAATTATTTTCATGTAAATTAATTTTCGACAATAGACAGACGTTCTGCTCGTGTTCGCACCAGCACATTTGCTGAAGTGGCGTGGGTAGCGGCCTAGCAAAAAGGGTTAGTTTTACTTGAATGTCACATTGCAGATTGGGAGAGTGTCTATTACAAGACGGTGGATCTGCTTCCGATTTCATTTTTATGCCTTATAATACGTTATTTTTATTAGGTTGCGTTTTAAAATGGTGCATACTCCGCAAAGTCATTAATATAGCCCACTAATACAAAAGTCCCAACTTTTTTTAGACGTTATTCATCATTACCTTCTTGCATTTCATGAAAACGCTGCTAAAGTTATCAAAGAGATTATTTCCCCGCCTCTAAGTGTACGATTTGTTCACATATTCAGCGAACCCCTGATTTATGCGGCAACTTCTCCGACATGTCTGTAACGCGTGTAATCTGAACAGACTTCGCAGGCGTCGATGTCGGTCTTTTGTGTAGGAATGTCGTGTAGACTAATAGTTGGATACCAACGTTTCGAAGGAACATACTGCCTCCATCTTCTGAAGACTTGATGAAACTTTGTTGTGCAACGGGTTCGTAACTTGGGGGGGTTCTGTTTAAACCAACAGCAACTTCGTGACATTACACACACGACTAATTTCTTGTTCACATTACAGGCATGGCGAGTTAGTAACGAGAACTTTGTTTATATTCATTTTGCTGTGTTGGTAAATATTCGAAACTTACAGCATTCACGTTGGTATTACTTAGAATAACATTTAAAGTTTATCTGCAAATATGATAATTGAGATTTTCACTGTGGCTAAGATTTTGACGTTAATGTTTTGGATAGTAACATCGTGTGCATTTCTAGGTCAGTACCAACGTTTCGGAGAAACCTACTGTCTCATTTTTAACGTTCTTGTCATTTATATTAGTAGCACTTCTAAAGTCTGACTAATGGTAACAGCGTTTGTAAAATAGACCGTTTTGCCATCTAGTGACATTTTTGAGAGCTTGTATGCTTCCATAATGACAACTAGATATGCATCAACGAAAAGAAACAAAAAACCTAGTTTATATAATACGCATTATATATTGACAGTGGCGCTCGTAAATCATACAATAAATGTAATCCTAATTACATTCGTGTGCAATGGACAACATATTTCATAAATCCAGCTATTAACCGGTGTCCCTGAACTAGAATTAAATAATTCCATTTAGAGCGCGCACAATCCGCTTTGAAAAATGCACACCAATGGAATAAAGTATCATTATTCTTGTCCAGTTGAATAAACGAAAAATATTCGGCCTTCTCGTATTTCAATTATATCAATTTAAAATAATTTGTAAAACAACTCGTTATTTCTTAAAATTAATAACTCCGAAAGTTTTCTGCCCACCGCAGCTACCCAAATTTGGTGCTACGATTAAGAAAGAAGTCTGTTACGTAATGTATTATAAATTTTTTCTCTGATTGAAATCGACGTAGCAGAATAGAAAGGCAGATAGTGAGAAACCGCAATCATGATATTCGGCCTGATAGATCGAAATTTGCTCCGTTCGAATTTGGAGTGGTGAGCTTTTACCTGGCCAAACTCAGCAACCAACACGTAACTTAACGTTGATCGTGATATTTCACGTTCTCTGGTGGTAAACATGAAGACTGATGTCTTCTGAGATGTTGCGCAATATAGCGTCGTAGAAATTTACTGACATTTCAGAGGTACTTGCTGTGTCCATCATCAGGGCAAGCTGAAACTTCGATCACTCTCTACCAGCCAACACGACACATTTCTGAAGACTGTCATTCTTATATTCGCCACCGTGAGAACTTGAAATCTCACTTTGAAGAATGTAGACTGCTTAAGTAACTTAAGAATCGCAAGGTAATTAAGTGTATTGATTAATACTCGAGTGCGGGCAGACAGATAACAATGTACATAACAATGAAACATCGCAATTCAGTTTTGTTTTGACGTCAAGAGGCCTCGCCTCTCGGCGCCCTACGTCACGGGCTTTCGCGACTATCCTCCATTTCCGTAGAAAAACAGGCAGATCAATCTCGAACCTGATCCCGCCCCGCGTTGTAATGAGACAGCCTTTCGTTCATTACACTGCATCGGGAAGAATTTGAGGTGTGTTGAATGATAACGCAGTTGGCAGAAGGTGACGATTTTTATATCCACCTTGATATTAATTTATTCTTGAGTACAAACAAAACTCAAGAAACCCATTCGTCTAATAATTTCTCGTTTAATATACAATCGAAAGTTCGCTACAATAGAAACACGCAATTAGATCTTATCGTTAACAAGTTCGTATATTCAGGTCTTATTGCTATAGGATCCGTTTTAATATTCATCTCCCGCCTGCGCTGAGGCCCCTCAAGTGTCCTATTCTGTTAATATTTAGCAATTAACATTTTCCATAAAGTTCTTATTTTCTCTCGTTTGTCTTTATTTAATTTTCGTAAAAACAGAAATATTTGGTGAAGCCGAAATAAGTGCACAAAAATAATAGGAAACGATTTCTGCCAGTCATTATTTCTTGAAGTGTGTGAACCCAAGAGCCATTACTGAACTTAATTGCTTTTTCGTTAGAGTTTCTTTATATCAATGTTGAAGTGGTAAAATCCATCCTATCGCCCTTCCGATTAAGAAGCCGAGGTATTTTGACTATGTCCACATCTCTGGTAAAGCTATTTCTACAAGGTTGATTAACTTTATAACTGCATACTTCGGTTTATATTCCCTCGTTCAGTCTTTGTTTATTGAAACCACAACGAAAAAACATTTAAAATGAAAGCCTCAGTCGCTCGTTTGACCATGTATTTTCTTAATGTTTCTTTCCAGTTCATTATCATTGCTATTATTATGTGTTAAATTTACTGATTTAACAATGACACGATGTTATAAATGGAGAAATGTGAATATAAAATTTGACAGAAACGTGAAAATTATCCCACGACTTGAACGTGCAAGTTCTCTCGGAGGAAGCAGGCAACTCTGAAGAGGTAAGGAAAGTCTGAAAATATATTAATATGTACTGACTAGTGTCTCATCAATTTGGCCTCTCTTACGTATTAATAGATAAATCTTCAATACAGTTAAGTTCCTTGTCCCGTACTGAACGTTCATTGAAACTGGAGTGTTGTACGTGATTTACATTTGCGTTTTCATCCTGGAATGTTTTGCTAGTTTCAGTTAATATTAAGAAGTCACTTCGTGAAAAGCTCAGTGATGCCTTGACCTTGAAGTAACAACAGATTCGAGTAAAACATTGACCTTCACTATTTTCTCACCGACTTCCTAAGGTCGCACTGATTACTGAGTACGTTCTGAACGTTGAATTAATTCTTTAAACTACGTTAAACATAACCTAGCACAGGAAGCATTGCATAAAAGGCAAAGTTGACATCTGTATTAAAACACTAGTTTTGAGGATTCTTAATGTCCACATTACATGCAAATGAGTGTTTGATTTGCGATCTCACAGCCTTTATCCTTGACACGAAATTGTGCACTGGAATATGTACTTAAATTTGTATGAACTTATTAATTTTATTTAAAAATTGTAAACCAGAAATTGTGTTTTCTTGTGTGGGGGAGGGGAAGATCATTTATTCTAACTATATTTCATACTGGGAGTGTCCAAATTTATGGTAATTTAACAATAGTTTGTCTTGGGCTTTATAAAGCGAACAGATATCAGCTGCGTAGTTTAACTCTTTAAAACCCAGTGGTAAGTATATGTGCCACGTATTTTTAACAGTCGGTAACTATTTTATATTTACGTGGTGACGTGCTGTGCTTTATTTGAGGAACAAACCAAATTTTGAAATATTATTTAGATTAGCTTCGGTTTTGAAGTGTTAACCAAATCAGTACTGCTGTTAGCAGGAATTTCGGTTTGTAATCTGTATGATTGATTCTTATGTTAGTTAATAATAATGATTCGACTGCAGAAATCACATATCGTAGAATAAGTTTACATGGCAGAGATTCGAACCACATATCTCTCCGAACACCGTATATTTTATTTTTTTGGTTACAGTTCCTAAATTTTTCATTCTTGTTTCTGTTGGATCAAAGAGTATGCTGTTTTGTAGAACTCGGTTCTTTCCATCGCCATTAAATCCATAACAAGCTGCAGTTTCTATTATTCATTATTGTGACACAGAGAAAACCTTAATGAATTATAGGCCACCACCAGTGGCCGTCATCCTACTGCAAATCAACGAGTTTTCATTACCATAGTGTCATCTCTGCGGTGTAATTTTACATAACATTGATAAGGTTAACTTGTTGGAACATGAACAAGGGGAGGTCACTTTAATGTGTATATTTGGCATAGCAGCAGCATCTATATTACAGATATATGCTACGCCGTCTAAAACTGTCTAAAACTTGCTTGCGGTCCTGTGTCAAAATTCCACCCACAGCGTCGTGAAAAATAAATAAGGTCTCCACAACGTTCCAGCGAGTATACGCATATTTACGTTATGTACAAAGTGTCCCAAAAATATGTATACACACATTAAATAATGACATAAAGATATTTTAATAAACTAAACCATTACATACGTGTTAGCGAATATAGTGTGGGTATTAAAAATGAAATTTCGCTTCATAATCACTCAGTTCTCCAAGAAATGTTTTGCCTATTATGACACTCAAAAGTTAATTTCTGTTTTCACCAGAGTCTACAAATGGAACGTATCCTGTGCCAGTTGAATCCAGTTCACGTCCTCAACCCCCATTTCAAAAAAGATTCATATTAATATTATCCTTCAATCTAAGCTTATGTCTCCCGAATAGTCTCAGGTTTTCCGAAGAGAATTCTGTATGCATTTCTTATCTCCCACATGCTTTTTGTATGCCCCCACATACCATCATAAATTCGTCTTTGTGTATGTTATTGTAATACTCGGGACATGATCATTCAGATCATGTAGTATGGTTGAACACACTCTTTTGTGTACATTTGGGAGGAGGTAGACTGTGACACGTAACATTTACCGGACCAGTAAATGTTAGAACCCC